AAATTCAGGACTGGAAAGGTGGCTCAGTGGTAGAGTGCTTGCCTTGCATGTATGAAGCCCTGGGTTCAATTCCTCAGTACCACATAAGCAGAAAAAGTTGGAAGTGGTGCTGTGGCTCAAGTGGTTGAGTGTTAGCCTTGTGCCGAAGAGCTGAGGGACAGCATCCAAGCCCAGAGTTCAGGCCCCACGAAGATTACAAGTTCAAGTCCAGCCCGGGGTTATATAGTGAGACCCTGACTCCAAAAAAGAAAATAGAAACCTACAAAGTCACTTTTAGAACCTAAAACTATCCCAAGCAGGGCACTGGTGGCTCACCCCTGTATTTCTAGCTATTCAGGAGGCTGAGATATGAGGATGGCCGTTCCAAGCCAGCCTGGCCAAGAAAGTCAGTGAGATTCATATCTCCAACTAATCACCTGAAAACCAAAAGTGGAGCTGTGCCCCAAAATAGTAGAGTACTAGCCTTGAGCACAAAAGCTCAGGGACAATGCCTAAGTCCTGAGTTCAAGCTCCAAGACAGACAAAATAACTAAATAAATAAAAATGCCAGGTGCTGGTGGCTCACACACTGTAATCCTAACTACTCAGGAGACTGAAATCTGAGGAACATGCTTCAAAGCCAGCCCAGGCAGGAAAATCTGTGAGACTCTTATCTCCAGTTAACCACCAGAAAATCAGAAATGGTGGCTGTGGCTCAAAGTGGTAGAACTCTAGCCTTGAGCAAAAAGAGCTCAGGGACAGCAGCCTGAGAGTTCAAGCTCCACAATTGACAACAATAACAATAATAATAATTAAAAAAATTAAATTAAGCACGGCACCAATGGCTCACACCTGCAATCCTAGCTTCTTAGGAGGCTGAGAGCTAAGGACTGTGGCTCCAAGCCAGCCTAGGCAGAAGAGTCTGTGAGGCACTTACCTCCAATAGACTACTCAGAAAAAGCCAGGTAGGGCTGTGGCTCCATGACAGGTAAACAACAACAAAAGTCTTTAAAAACTTTTTTTTTTTAATTTTGTCATGAACTCAGGGCCTGGGCACTGTCTGCCACTCCAGGTTTTGAGTGGTTAATGAGAGATATGAGTCTTTTTTTTTTTTTTGGGGGGGGGGGCTGTGGGGCCTGAACTCTGGGCCTGGGCGCTGTACCTCAGCTCTTCAGCTCAAGGCTAGCGCTCTACCACTTGAGCCACAGCGCCACTTCCAGCTTTTTTTCCTTTTGCTTATGTGGTGCTGAGGAATCGAACCCAGGGCCTCAGGCATGCAAGGCAAGCGCTCTACCACTGAGCCACCTTCCCAGCCCGAGATATGAGTCTTATGGAGACTTTTCTGCCTGGGCTGATTTCCAATAGCAATCCTCAAATCTCAGCCTCCAGAAGAGCTAAGATTACAGGTGTGAGCCACCTGTGCCCAGCAAAAGTCTTCAAATTTTATGTTACAAATAAAGCCACAAGTTATAAACTTTTCAAAGTCTTGATTCCAAAAGTATGGCAAAAATTTAAGAAGACATCAACTTATTTATTTTTTGGTCATGGGGCTTGAACTCAGGGCCTGGGCTCTGTTCCTAAGCTTTTGTACTCAAAGCTATTGCTCTACCACTTTGAGCCCTGTGCCACTTCTAGTTTTCTGGTGGCTAATTAGAGATGAGTCTCCGGAACCTTCATGCCTAGGCTGGCTTCAAACTGAGATCCTCAGATCTCAGCCTCCTGAGTAGGTAGGATTACAGGGCTGAGCCACGGGCACCCTGCTAAAGACATCCATTTTTTAGCAAAACAAAGAAAGACTGTTTTCTCATGTTAAAACAATCAGAAAGGGAACATCTTTTCGGAAAAATGAAAAATAAAAAGCATTATATCCCAGCCACTGAATACATACATTAGTTGAACATACTTTATCTGAGTACCATTTTCCTAATAACTATTACTTCTGGAGTGTTGTCTTCACAAATTTGAAAAAATTGAAAATATACCTACAAGGAGACAAGCTTCTCAATTTCATTCATCTGTCATTTTATTTGAGTTAGTGCAATTTCAAAGATTGGTCCATTTTTATTAAGGGTTGCAACAGATGAAGAGAATATAATGCCAACATGTTGCACAAGGGTTCTAAATTTGGTCCAATTTAAATCTTCAGGACAGAATTTCTGAGTAAACCTTTGATGAGAAAACATCCTACGAGCACAGGTAAAGTCTTTATAACACAATACTATTATACCTATCTCTGTATCCTAACTTCTCTTCAATACTCATACAATCATGTTTCTTTATTCTGCTTTTCAAATGGAAAAGCAAGAGCTATTCAACCAACTCAGTTAATGGTAAAAGTTTTTCCTGCTTCTGTTGACTTTATCTTGGCTACAGGAAAAAGAAATGTAACAAAAATACCATGACACCCACTAAAGATGAATGGATCCAAAAATTGTGCTACCTATATACAGTGGAATATTACGCAGCCATTAGAAAGGACAAAATAAAACTAGAGCCAGGCATCGGTGGTGGCTCATGCCTATAATCCTAGATACTCAGGAATCTGAGATTTGATGATCGCAGTTAAAAGCCAGCCTGGGCAGGAAAGTCCATGAGACTCATCTTCAATTAACCACCAGAAAACCGTAAGTGTTGCTGTGGCTCAACTGGTAGAATGCTTGCCTTGAGCTGAAGAGCTGAGGGTCAACACCCAGGCCCAGAGTTCAAGTCCCACGACCGACAATAAATAAATAAATAGTAATAAAGTTGGAGCTGTAAGCACTATACAAATCAAAATATATATATGTATCTTTTGACAAGCTTCAATCTGACTGGAAACATCTACATTAAGAATTAATCTATATTTTTGTTATCATTGCAGGAAGACAAATTAAGCTGAGAAGTCCTACTTCATAACCCACAATTGTTTTCCTGCTCCCATACTTCCCCTTGCAGGTAGCCTCCTCTTCTCCGGTAGCATACTGAGTTCCTTCTCAAGTCTACCACTGACACTGGAATTCTGTCTCCTCCCCATCACCACACCTCTACATGATTCACTTTCATCCTTTTAGGATAGGGCTTTATCCTATCAAAGTGGCTTCTCCCACTACTAAGCATATATTAAAATCTATAATTAACCTTTCTAAATTTATTTTTACTGTCTTCACTCTAGGATGTCCCATGAGGGCTCTGTCCTCACCACTGTCTCTACAACATCTTCTTTTCCATTATTAACAAAACTACTCTGAAAATAATTTCATTTCTACAATATCCTACCAACAGTAAGCTCATCAAGGTTACTTAATCACATTTCCTCCCTCAGCACTTGGGCCTGGCATCAGTCTAAAGAGTCAGTAAAAATCTTGTAGCATAAACCAGTATTCTAAATAAGAATGATTGTTACTAGTAAGCAGAAAAGAATTACAGGCTGTATACACAAAAACTGGATACAACGTATGGGAGAAATTAACAAGGACAAAATTCCACTCAAAGAGAAGGTGCTCTGGAATCAGCAGAAAGGAGGGGGGGCACTCATGCAAATCAACTCTTGATTGTGCTCTAGAATAACAAAACAAATTGTTCCCCCTCCTCCCATTCCAATGCCACAATTCATTCGGCACACTCGATTGCTCACTAGGAGTTCAAGTACCAATACATTAGGATTATTTTGAATTCTCCAAGGTACACTGGGCAAGAAGCAAAAGGGATGACTGAAACCTGATAGTACAAACATCAGAAGTAGAAATAACAATGGCAAATGTTTACGTTTTGAAAACATTTGAAGAAAAACCTCGGCACGATCTAGAACAAACCAAACACATGCATAAACACGTAGTTATAGGTTGGGACTCCTATAGCACAAAATGATCCATCACATAACTACCAAAAGAGGCCATACTGTCTCTGTCTCATCTTTTACTCGAGACTATTAGCCACCACAAGGCTCATCGGCCTCGCTCCTGGTTAGCAGAATCCTCAAATGAATACAAGAAAAGGTGAAACCCTCAAAAAGGGTGAGGGGCAAAACCCAATCAACCACCAGTCCCACAATCCATAACAGCCCTTAAACTAAGCCTTTCAAAACGAACTGTCATTATCTTTTAGAGGCCAGAAGTCTCCACAGACAAAAAACAAAAAAAACTCAAAACATTGGCTTTCCAGTTAGGAAATCAGCACTCCACTTTAAAAACAACAAAAAAGGCATCTTCTTGCAGGCACGGGCAATTAATCCCTCAGGAGGCAGTGACGCTCCAACCACCCAGCCAAGACACAGGAGACAGGGCACGGCCTCTCCCTGGAGCCGGTGGCGGTCTCCGGGCTCAATGAGCCCAGCCCAACCCACCAGGGCAGTGGCTAAAGTCGACTGTGGCGAAGCAGGGCCAGCACTGAGCTTCTGGCTGGGCCTTACCGGCCTGGGGGCGCGGCGGGACCCGGGGATGGTGTTGCTCTCAGAGCAGCTCGGAGGCTGCAACGGATCCGGGGCTTCTTCCCCTCGGCCCCCGCCCCGCTGCCCACAGTCAGCCAGTCAACCCCTTACCTGGCAGAAGCTCCGGCAGTAGTTCAAAGAGGAGACCTCCGACACCTCCTGTTCCCTCAGCTCTGTCTCCAGCTGCCACAGACACGGTCTCAGACCGGGGGCTCCGGGTGCCGGCGATGTAGGGCGATGACCCCGAGCCATGGACTCAGTCTCGGCACCATCTCCGGTTCCCGCTCCCGCCGGTGCCTTAGCCTCAGCCTCGGTGGCGGCGGCGGCTGCGGCGGCGACGGCGGTGGCGGCGTCTCCCTTTCCGTCCGCCATCTTCCCACGGCCCAGCAGCGCGTAGGCAACCAAGCCACGTGACCCGCCGCTGGGCCCGCCCCCCTGTCGCCCGCGCGCACTGACGCACTCCCTGGCGACGCCGGCGCTCGCCTGATTCCGTCACTAGGGCGCCGAGCGCTTCGATGCTCTCTCTGAGGCCTGCGCAACAAACGCTCTAACAGCCGCCTAGCAACAGCTTGTCAGGAGTTCTAGTCCACCTCGTCTCTTTAGGCCGTTTGGAGTTATGGGTCGTCTGGCTGGAACTTCTGTAGACATTCTAGATATGATGGCGATGACTGAGCTGCAAATTGAAGATGAGAGGAAGGTGGAAAGTGGTCCTAAGAGCCTAGAGCAGTGGCCGGTGTTCCCAGCTCTAGGGGCGGGGTGTAAGTAGGAAGATCCTAATCTGAAGCCAGTCCCCTCCTGAAAAAACAGCAGGTTGGAGGCGTGGCTCAAGTGGGAGGGGAAGCGGGAAGCGTGAGTTCAAACTCCACCTCCACCAAAACAAAGCATCCCTAGTGGGAGGAGGAAAAGAAGAAGCTATGGTTGTTAGATCCAAATGAAAATTAGTTCCAAGCAAACTGAGTTTATGATAGGGATGGTGTTACAAGTCAGTGGGGAAATGAAGCGGCGCCGAGAGAGAAAGTAACTTTTTTTGAGAGAAAGTAAATTAACATCCATTTCTACCTCAAATCATATCCATAATTAAAGCTCATATGATTTAAACACGTCAAAAAAAAAGCACTGGGCGTGGTGGTTCACACCCGTAATCTCTTGTACTCAGGTTAAAAGGCAGGAGGTCCTCTAGGGGCTGTCTTAAACCAACAAAAAGAAAAAAAAAGTTTCTCCCACACAGGAAGTCACAATAGTAAATGTAAAAGGCAAAAGTCATGGGATTGATTTAAGAATGGCAAGACTTGTCAGTGAATGGAATGAGGAACAGACTCAAAATTGGCTTCAATTGGATTTGATAGGGAAAACTGGACCTGAGAGAAGAGAACACACCCTACCCCACCCAAAAAAAAAAAAAGGTTGGCCTGGGGTATAAATTAAGGACACTTTTTTAGGGAAGGGGGTCAATCTTGGGGCAGTGGAGGGGTGCTGTCACTGACCTTCTTTTGCCTAAGGCTGGCACACTCCCACTCAAGCCACGGCCCCATTTCTAGCTTTTTGATGGTTAATTAGAAGAGTCTCATAGACTCTTGGGTTGGCTTCAAACAGTGATCATCAGATCTCCCTGAGTAACTAGGATTACAGGTGTGAGCCACCAGTGCCCAGCTGACATTTTTATTTCAAATGGAGAGACCTGCGGCGAATGGTCCAGGTGTAAGTAGATGGATAGATCTGGTAGTTGAAAGCCTCAGCCCAGAAGACTACACTGACTATTGCTGACAATAAACTTTGATGTATACATCAAAGTTTATTGTCAGCAAGTCCACAGGCTGACCCTTCTGGGCAGGGATTAGTACTAGTCCTTGAGCAAGGTGGTTTATATGGCTAGGGGATGGGGGTGGAGAGAATTTCACTAGGGACTGGGAGTACTCTGCAGTCTGGTTTGTGTGAGATGTGGAGTTTGTGAGGTCCATGAGAGCAGGGGATTTTGTTGTGGTAGGGCTATGGTTTATGGTTGCAGCTGCCTGTGTCACCTGATAAGGCCTGAGTCAGCTAATTTTGGGGAATGACCTGAGTCACCAGATTTCGGGAAAGACCATGCTTTCCATCAGGGCCTAAGAAAGTGGAGTGGGCCTGGCGCTGGTGGCTCACGCCTGTAATCCTAGCTACTCAGGAGGCTGAGATCTGAGGATCGCGGTTCAAAGCCAGCCCGGGCAGGAAAGACCGTGAGACTCCTATCTCCAATAAACCACCAGAAAACCGGAAGTGGCGCTGAAGCTCAAGTGGTAGAGCGCTCGCCTTGAGTTGAAGAGCTGAAGGACAGCGCCCAGGCCCAGAGTTCAAGCCCCCCGACCGAAAAAAAAAAAAAAAAAAAAAAAGTGGAGTGGCTCCTTAGGTGGAGGAGGTTAGGATAAGATAAAGTCATCAGCTGAATTGGGGGAAATGTCAATGGTGGGTTTTTGGTTTTGGTTTTGGTTTTTTTGGTTTTGGTTTTTAGTGGGGATTTTTTTGGTTGGTCGTGGGGCTTGAACTCTGGGCCTGGGTGTTGTCCCTCAGCTCAAGGCTAGCACTCTACCACTTGAGCCACAGCGCCACTTCCAGTTTTGTGAGTGGTTTATTGGAGATAAGAGTTTCACGGACTTGCCTGCTCAGCTTGTCTTTGAACCGTGATCCTCAGATCTCTGCCTCCTGAGTAGCTAAGATTACAGGCATGAGCCACTGGTGCCCAACTCAATGGTGGGGTTTTTTGGTGAAGAAAGAGAACAAAAAAATTGTTACAGTTGTTTCAAAATGAGATAGGAAAGAATATATACTAGAGGGGGCTGGGAAGGTGGCTCAGTGGTAGAGCGCTTGCCTTGCATGCATGAGGCCCTGGATTCGATTCCTCAGCAACACATAAACAAAAAGAAAAAAGCTGGAAGTGGCACTGTGGCTCAAGTGGTAGAGTGCTAGCCTTGAGCTGAAGAGCTGAGGGACAGCACCCAGGCCCAGAGTTCAGGCCCCACGACTGGACCCAAAAAGAAAAAAAAAGAATATATACTAGATTTTATACACACACACACACACACACATACTAGAATATCCATTAGGTAAGTAGAGAAGTGTTAAAAGACACTAGTGATAGTACAATATGTTTCAGTTCCTGTCTTAAGGCTGAAAATATAGGGGGGAGAAAATAAGTCTTGAAGCCAGGTGCCAGGGATTCACACCTGTAATCCTAGCTGCTGAGGAGGCTGGGATCTGAGGACTACAGTTCAAAGCCAGCCCAGGCAGGAAAGTCTGTAAGACCCTTCTCTCCAATTAACTACCAGAAAACCAGATGTATCTCAGTGGCTCAAAGTATTGGATGCTAGCGTTGAGTACAAAAGCTCAGTGACAGTGCCCAGGCCCTGAGTTCAAGCCCAACAACTGTTATTAGGTATGGAAATTTTTTTCCATACAGAAATATACCAAAAGATTCTGGGGCCAAATTTTTAGGGTTTATTTCCCAGCTTCAGCTTTATATATGTACCTTTCAATCTCTTTAAGCTTCAAGTTCTTTTTTTCTTGTCCTACCCTCCTTCTTTTCCCTTAGTCCCTCTACTTTGTGCACTAAGATGTCTGAACCTATGGTCTTAGGCATATAGGCAAGTGCTCTACCTTTGAGCCACTAGCTCCCTTGTTATTTGGTTTAGGAATTGTCTATTTTTATTTTTTTTCATGGGTCTGTCTCCTGCCTCTGCTTCCCTAGTACCTGGGATCACAGGTAGGCACCATCACACCGAGCTTGTTTGTGTTTTGAAACAGAATCTCACTACTGTGTAGTCCAGGCTAGTCTATGAATGTGTGATTCTCATGCCTCTCCCTCCTAAATGCTGGGATTACTTGTATACATGACCATGTCCAGCTTGCTTGCTTTCTCTCTTTTGATTGTTCTTTTTCTTCCTCCTTTCCTTTTTCCCCCCTTTGATGTGTTGGGGGTGGGAGGTTCTCACTATGGCAAATATTCCACAACAATGATTGTCTCAAGTTAGCACTCTTTTTTTTTTTTTTTTGGTCGGCCGTGGGGCTTGAACTCTGGGCCTGGGCGCTGTCCCTCAGCTGTTCAGCTCAAGGCGAGCGCTCTACCACTTGAGCTACAGCGCCACTTTCGGTTTTCTGGTGGTTTATTGGAGATAGGAGTCTCAAGGTCTCTTCTGCCCGGGCTGGCTTTGAACCGCGATCCTCAGATCTCAGCCTCCTGAGTAGCTAGGATTACAGGCGTGAGCCATCAGCACCCGGCTCAAGTCAGCACTCTTAAAGTGCCTAGAACAGAGCCTGCCTTAGTAAGCAACTTATATATGTTATTACTGTAACTTCTACAAGGATAATCTGAGGATAATCTTTCTGAGGAAAATCTTAGTTTCCCTAACTGGACTTCCACACAGAATATTGACTGTAGAAAACATCTACTTTCAGGATTGCTCCGTAACAGAATGATTATGGAACAGATCCATGTTGGGGATTGTTAAAAGAGCGGATTAAAATTTCTGATTTGCAAATTGAAGAATTTGATTTTATTATTTCACCCAGGTAGTAATTAAATCACCAGAGTACAATTTACTAATTTATCCTAAGAAATATAATGCCATCCCTGAAGAAAAGTGAGCTTGGGAAACAAAATTAGCACAAGAAGTTTCCTTAGGGAGTATAGAATCGGTATAGAGGGAACAAGGACTCAAATCATCATCACCATACTCAAGCTTCTGTCTCATTTATTTCCTATTCTTTTTCTCTTCCTCAAAATCTAATGAACTTGGAGTTCCAGTCTTATCAATTTGTCCTCAAGAAATTTTCTTCCATCTTTTCCTTTACCCACTTGAACATGAAGAGTGAAAACATAAAAATATTACAGACCTCGGTGCCAGTGACTTACACCTGTTATCCCAGCTATTCAGGAGGTTAAGATCTGAGGATTATTGGTTCAAAGTCAGCCCTAGCAGGAAAATGCTGAAGACAGTCATCTTCAATTAACTACCAAAACGCTGAAAGTGGAGCTATAGCTCAAGCTATAGCCTTGAGTGAAAAATCTAAGGGTCAGTGCCCAGGCTCTGAGTTCTAGCCCTAAAACCAGCATCTATACACACATAAAAGACAATAATATAGCATGGTGTCCTCTAAAAGTATGAAGAGAATTTGAAGGACAAGAATAGCTACTAGATGAGGAAGTAGTGTATATGCACCAGAACTTTATTATGAATTATCCATGACTGTCATTGAGGCAAGATAAATAGAATTAGGTAGCGGAGTCAGAAAACATCTTTGCAGAAAGTACACTCATACATTCCACTACATCTATTTATTTATGTGTTTGTTTGCTGTACTGGTAACTGAGCCTTGCCTAGAAAGTGCTGTACTGGTAACTGAGCCTTGCCTAGAAAGTGCTTTACCACTTGAGCCATATTCCTAGTTCTTTTGCTTTTAGATTATTTTTCAGGTAGAGTCTTGTGCTAACTTTATTTCCAGTTTGTCTTGAACCAAAATCATCCTACTTCCTAAATATCTGAGACCACAAATATGAACCATCATACTCAGCTTGTTTTTGAAATGAGATCTTTTTTCTCCTGCCTCCACCTCATGTTTACCTTTTTATTTTAGATGTTAAGTGAGTTACTATTTCCAACCAAAAAAGGAATGTTCCAAGAAACAGTCACATTACAAGGTTCTTTCATTGTAAAGTCACAACTTGATATTTGGATGGTACATGAAAATAGGAACTTAAGAAAATGACTGAACTTTTCAAGGTGACCACTTA